TTGTGTCTGGAGTATTTTGGAAAGCAAGGTTGGCACTTAAAAAAATACCAAAGTATCGATCACCTCAAGCAAGCGTTTCGCGAGGAATGGGACAAAATACCGCAGAGCAACATTCGGTCAGCGTGTGACGGTTTCATTGGCCGTTTGAAGGCCATAATTTGTGCCAAAGGTGACCATTTCGAATATCCATGAATCTCATAAAACGCGAAAGTAACATCCGATTCGATTCGATTCAGACTCGGCACATCCAAAGGGTCAACATTTTGAAATTCCATGAAGACTAATAAAATCCGAAAGTAACATCCGATTCCATTCAGACTCGGCACATCCAAATATTTCTATCAACACAAGATCTGTTATAAATGTGTTAGAGATCGGACCATTTTGTTGAATAACCAAAACGATCAATATCCGAAAAAAGCATACGGTTCTCATCAAATTTCACACATGACATTATTTCTAACACAACACAAGGTCTGCTGTGAATATGGGATATATCGGCACACTCCTTCTGGTACTTCCCCCACAAAGGGTTCAAAATTTAAAAAAAAAACAGAACGCTCACAAAACGCGAAATAGGCATCCAACTCTCCATTTGCACACATCTAAACATTTTTGCTACCGTAAAATCCTCAACCACAAAGGGTCACAATTCGCAATTCTTATATATGTCATAATTTGCTAAACAAGTCGGCGATTCTATACAACTTGCTATATTTAACTATTTCCCTTAGCCAGAAATCTGATGTGGAGATGTAATTAATCGAATTGGACAAAATTGACCAACTGCTTCGGAACCTCCCCCCATAACGGGTCAACAGTTAGAATAATCATAACTCAAGGCAGGAAGTATACATCTGTCGGCAAAACCGACTGATACTATTAAACTTGTTTTGAAATAACAACAGCATTCCTCGCTCAATCCAGAACTGAGCGAAAAAAATATTTGTATGATATCAACTGTGTGATTAAATATCTTTTCATTCACATGTCGATGTTAAAAATCTCTTGACAAAATATGAAATTCTTCTTTTTCAATATTTATGTCCCATTGCTTTAGCCGTTGGCCATTAAACTCAAGATAATACAATAGGTTGGCCTATTGTTTTGACATTTTTTTCTATTTTATCAATATGGACAAATCTTTTAATATTTTATGTCTATTATAAATATTTACTCATTCCGTTTCGATAGAATAATAAATTATGAAATAATACACATCCAAATGTATTCATGAGTATTTTAGGCATGCAAAGTTCAAAAACGGTTGGACTTTTGTTTGGGATTTCTTAATTTAGGAACTACAAGGTTTTTTATTGCTCCATATGTACCGTGCATTTGATAAAATTCTTCAAAGCCACCACCACCAAACAAGTACACCGATGTTTTGGCAGGAAACGGTGTGGAACGTTTAATGGGTTTTCTTTTCTTTTTTCGAATTCTTTTTTATTCATATCATTTGATTGACTAGCAAACTGGCTAGGTGTTTATGAATAATAAAATCGTTTATTAATATTTTATTGTTGGAATGCGTGAGCTTTTGTAGTTTTTGCTTCTGACCGTACAGGTGCTGCCGTTTTTTTTTTTTTTTTGACCAACCAAACTTATAACAGTTTAATTTTGTTTAAACGGTATTCATCCGCTCAAACCAAAAAACCAAAATGACGGTCTACCTCCACATACTTTATTGCCAGGCTATGTGACATGAATTAATTTAACAATTTTTAACTGTATTGTGTATTTATGAAAATTGTCAACAATCATTGCTCCAAGTGGGTCATAAGACATACAAGGTAATACTTTCCTCCATAAAAAAATAAAACGGTTTAATGTACGAACTTATTTTATATGCACTTGCTTGAGTGATGGCTGAAAATAATTATATTTTGGCAGCCCCACAAAATGTATTGCGTTTTCAAAAAACCGTTATTTTTATACCCTCCACCATACATAGAATGGAGGGTATATTAAGTTTGCATTCCGTTTGTAACTCATCGAAATAATTTTAGACCCAACAATGTGTATATATTCTTGATCAGCGTAAAATTCTAAGATTTAGCCCAGTCCTTCCATCCGTCCGTCTGTTGTAATCACGCTAGAGTCGAAACGAATAAAGATAGAAAGCTAAAAGTTTGCACTGATCTGTCTTTTGTCTGCAGGTAGATCAAGTTCAAAGATGGGCTATATCGGTCCACAATATCATATATCCCCCAATTTTTAACGGTACCCCCATATTCGGTATTTTCATGATTTTAGCCACATTTTCAATGGAATTGCCTTAAAATCCACAAAAGAAGCTCTTTGTGAGTACTTTATCCCCTGGAACATAATTGTCTAAATAGGTCGAAAATATCGTATATTTCCCAAATAAAGGTGCCTCCCGATAATTGTAGCCACATTTTTAAATGAAATTGTCCGAAAATCCTCACAAGGAGTTCCTTCTGAGTACTTTACCCCGTGGAAGAGAATTGTATATAGGTCCACGATGTCGTATAGCCCACATATTACGGTACCTCCCGATATTCGGTATTTTGATGATTTAGCTACATTTTTTCAATAGAATTGTCTGAAATTCTACACAAGGATTTCTTCGTGACTACTTTACCCTCTTAAAAAGAATTGCCTATAAAGGTCCACGATATCATATAGCCCCTATATTACGGAACCTCCCGATGATTTTGATGATTTTAGCCACATTTTTAAATGGCATTATCTGAAAATCCACACAAGGAGTTCTCTAGGAGTATTTATTTTACCCCTGGAAGAGAATTGTCCATATAGGTCTACGTTTAAGTATAGCACCCATATAACCGTACCCCCAAGATATTCGGCATTTCCATGATTTTAGCGACATTATTCACCGGAATTGTTTAAAGTTACTACAACTTATGACGGAAATTGTCTATGCATGTCCATAGCCCCCACCCCCATTCAACGGTATCTCCCCTAATTCAGTATTTTAATGATATAAGCGACATTCTTCACAGGAATTAATTCAAATTATTAATTATTAATTCAAAATCTACCGAGCTGAAATCCTAAAATTGATATGGTTTACATATGGAGACGTTGGTGTAAAAGGTAAACATTTTCCGATTATTCTTTCTGAAAAAACTGAAAACGATTGTATAAAAATGTATGAAGGTTTAATTAAAATTTTTTGTCAAACTTAACAAATGGTGCATTTGGAAGGAAATTGAAAAAAGTAAAAAAAAAAAAAACGTCGAAAAATACCGTTGACATGAAAACCGTTATATGGTAACTAGGAGGTAGAGGAGGGGGACCTGCATTCGTTAATTTTTTGTCATAGGCTGTTGTACAAATTTGAAACTTGGGAGGTATTGTTATATGGTGGCTATACGAAGACGTGGACCTGCGTACGCATTTTTTTGTCATAGGCTGTAATACCCATTACGAACTTTAAATACGAAATATGAAACAATTTCGGTCTATAAAGTCGATAAAATCATAAAAATACCGAATATCGAGGGGTGCCGTTGAATGGGGGCTAGACGATTTTGTAGTCCTATATAGACAAATTTCTTTCAGGGGGTAAGGTACTCACAAATAATTCCTTCTGTGAAATTTCAGACAATTCCATGGAAAAATGTGTCCAAAATCATCAAAATGCCGAATATCGGGGGATACCCTTATATGGGGGCCATACGATATCGTAGACTGATATAGAATATCTTCGAACTTGCACTGCATGCAGACAAAATACTGATGTGTTCAAAATGTTAGCTTCCTATCTTAATCCGCTTTGAATGTAGCGTGATTGCAACATATAGACGGACGGACAGGGCTAAATCGTCTTAGAATTTTACGCTGCTCAAGAATATATACATTATTGGGTCTGACATGAGTATTTCGAGGAGATTCCAACCAGCCATCCAACCACATTTCTTATTTTGTCGATGAAGGTCAAGACACCCTGGCGGGTCTTGACCTCTCTACGTTGATAGTGAGATGCATGGGACATTTTCGGGACTTATGCGGTCCCAGATCAATTACCCAAATATCACAAGATTGAATTGAAAATGCTGTAAGGCAGATATAGTCTTTACCCATTTTGTTCAAATTGTTTAATAGCCTCCATGAAAGATAGGAGAGCGACATACAAGGCAATTGGCCAATCCGCCTTTAATTGTGCTGCTCAAGCAAGTGCTTTAATGGGGAGACCCATTTAAAAAAATCCACAATAAAAAGCCATGTTGCAAGGGGCTGTGTCCAAAATTTATTTCATATGACGCTAAAGCTCAGTCAGAAAATGAGTGAAATTGGAAATTATATTGTTCCAATTCTTGTGCACTCTCCGTTATTTACACTACCAAAAAAAATTTCGAAGCGGAATTTTTCATTGAAATTTTGGGTTGACCATGATTTTTACGACACAGTCTTAGTATAACCACAATTTCCAATTCATAACTCGTCAGTTCTGATAGGTGACCGTTTGGTAACGGCTGTCCATCGATAAATTCCATTGTATAATCAATTTTTAGATCATGAGTCTCTATTGAGCTCACGGCTATTCCATATACACAATAAAATATTCATTAATATCAACATATTTCCTTCCCTTGAGTTCTACTTTAATATTGAGTCCTAGCGAATATATTCCCATGATCATATCCTTTCCTTATAAGTGTATTTTCCAAAATTTACATTTGCTCTATTCCAGAACTGCAAGAATGTAAAAGTTTTTGCAATCATAGCCGATTTTCCCTTTATGCTATCGGAAAAAAATCGCAAAACTAGTAGGTTCTTGCAGGCTCTGGGACAGAGCAATTGACAACTATGAATCATCTAAGTTTAGGACTTTTACAGCACCGGCAAGGATCTCCTAGTTTTGCAATTTTTTTCGATACCATAAAGGGAAAATCGGTTATCGTTGCAAAAACTGTTACATTCTTGCAGTTCTGGAACAGACCATTTATTTCCAATTCATCCACCCTTAACAATTGTCATTTTAAAATTTCTCCCATTTTTTCTCTTTTTAGACTGTGCTCTCTGGACAAAGTTGAAACTTTACTCGGTGATGCTGTCCAGTTGGTGCGTATCAAAGATCCACTTACATGCAATGCCTTTGCAAACAGCAATGACTATGAGGGAGATTGGTCTGGTCTCTCGGCGACATGGGAACGTGTTTCGGTACAGGAGCGTGATCGTTTATTTGGCCAACTGGATGTTGGAGAGTTTTGGATGTCATTTTTAGATTTTACACAGACCTTTTCGAGTTTAGAAGTCATATACTTAGATGTCGACACGGCGAAGGATGAGCTATCGCTACAGGACCGGCCCAAACGTTGGCAAATGAAAATGTTCCAGGGTCAGTGGAAACGTGGTGTCACTGCCGGTGGCTGTCGCAATCACGAATCGTTTCACATCAATCCCCAATTGCTGCTGAACATACCCGAGAAACAGGAAATTGTGGTGGCTCTGAATCAACACACAGCCGTAGAACCAAAAGTCATAGGCTTTACAGTGTACAAAATGAGTGGTATTGCCGGTTCAAAGGTCAATCAAAAAATCACCGAAAGTTTACCCAAAGATTTTTTCAAAACACATGTGAGTTTCTTGAATTCGGATTATGGCAATACAAGGCATGTCACCTGCAAATGCCAACTGGAGGTGGGTCAATATGTGTTAATGCCGACAACCTATGAACCCGGTGAAGAATCTGGTTTTACGGTGCGCATATTGGGTACACTGCCGTTGCGTTTATCCCTGCTAGAAACCCAGACTCTTATGTTGTTGGATCCATTTCCGGTGCTTAAAAATGAAGCTGATTCTTTGAAAATCAAAAATGTCTGCCAATATGAACCGGTATTCATGCAATTGGCCGATGAGAATAAGACCATCAACTGTTTTGAACTTCATGAACTGCTGGACGCCTGTCTGCCGAATGACTATATCAAAGGTTGTGCAAATGTGGATATTTGTCGACAGGTGATTGCTCTACAGGATAAAACCGGAACTGGACGCATTAATTTCTTACAATTTAAAACATTTATGGTCAACCTGAAGACATGGCAAGGCGTTTTTAAGATGTACACCAAAGAAAAGGCCGGCATTCTACGTGCTGAACGTCTGCGCGATGCCCTCTACGATGTGGGTTTCCAGCTGAGCACGGATATTATGAATTGTATAATGCAACGTTTTATACGTAAGGATGGCACACTGCGTCTAAGTGATTTCGCCTCGGCGGTGCTACATTTGACGGCGGCTTTTGATTACTTCCAGCGCAAGGATCACAATCAGGATAATGTCATTGAAATTGAAATGTCGGATTGGATAAAATGTGTGTTGCGTTGTTAACAGTTGGAACAGTTGGATGTTGAATCCTTACAGCCACCACCAGCAATTGTATTCTACATCAATTGGGAGAGTCGAGAGAGTAGCTAAAGATCTTTAAAAAAACACAAAAAAAATAACAAATACAGTTTTAGTCTAATTTACATTATTTTTTAGTTTAAGTTCTAAAATCTATTTCACTGTTTTTTACTCTTTTATATAATTATTATATTTGTTCGTCTTCACTTCATTACCTTGTGTGCTATATTTAGAAATTAGTTTAATTTAGATTTAAAAACAAATCACGTCTTTACAAAATATTTACAAAAGCCAGTGCTAAGTCCCCCAATGTTGTCCCATATATACCTAATTTTTTTTAAAATAAAATTAATTGAAAATAAATTATTAAACCTTTCAGAACGAGCAAGATTAATTGGTACAGTAGAAGGGTGATGAAAGAGTGTATGTACATACATAAAAACAAGTAAACAAGCTGTAAGTTCGGCCGAACTTTGAATACCCTCCACCATTTGGAACGAATTTGACAATACTCAAAAACAATAAAGTCCATTAAAAATTCTGTTAACATCTTAAAAATACCGAATGTAGCTGTTATATTAGGGTCTGTACGACGAAATGGACCTGCATAGGTAAATTTTGTCATAAGCCATTACAATATTCAAATGCGAAACTTGAAAAAAAAAATTCGGTGAATAATTTCGCTAAAATCATCAAAATACCGAATATCGGAAGGTGCCGTTATATGAGGGGCTATACGAAGATGTGGACCTTCACAGAAAATTTTCTGTCTTAGGCTGTAGTATCCATTACGAACTTCAAATACCAAATTTGAAACGATTTCGGTGAATAATGTTGCTAAAATCATCAAAATAGCGAATATCGGGAGGTACCATTATATGGGGGCTATACGAAGACGTGGACCTTCACAGACAATTTTCTGTCTTAGGCTGTAGTATTCATTTCGAACTTCAAATACCAAATTTTAAACAATTGCGATGAATATTGTCGCTAAAATCATCAAAATACCGAATATCGGGAGGTACCGTTATATGAGGGCTATACGAAGAGGTGGACCTGCATAGACAATTTTCTGTCTTAGGCTGTAGTATTCATTTCGAACTTCAAATACCAAATTTTAAACAATTGCGATGAATATTGTCGCTAAAATCATCAAAATACCGAATATCGGGAGGTACCGTTATATGAGGGCTTTACCAAAACGTGGACCTACATTGTCCATTTTCAATACCAAAAGTCCTGCAGACATAATATACATTTGAGTAAAAAAATCAATGTACTTCAATTCGTTCGGAAGCTAGAGTGATTTACTTTTGATTTTTTTTAAGGACATAGAATTTTATGCTGATCACGAATATATATACTTTGTGGGGTCTAAAATGTATATTTCGAGGTGTTACAAACGGAATGACAAACTTAATATAATACCCCCCAAACTATGTTGGAGGGTATAAAAATGTCGGAAATAGCATAAAATTTTAGAATAAGTTTAGATTTGTTCGAATTGGTCACTTGGCACGAATTATGGCCTTCAAACGGCCAATGAAACCTTGACACGCTGCGGTATTTTGGCCCATTCCCGGCGAAGCGCTTGCTTGAGGTGATAGACACTTTGGTATTTTTTAGTACCAACCTTGCTTTCCAAAATACTGCAGACACAATAGTTCAAGGCATTGGTATCCCGAGATTTTGGTGGTCATTGTGTGCTGGAAAACGAATGTTTTCTCATCGGAGAAAACCAAATTCGGCAGTTCACCACTTTCGGGCAAGCGAAGAAACTCTTTAGCTCTTTGAGTCTATTTTCTTTCCATTGTGGTGTAAGTTCTTGCACTTTTTGCAATTCCAATGGCTTCACCCCGAGATCATTTTTCAATATTTGCCGAAAGGAAAATTGCGATATGTTCAGCTCACGAGCCATTTTTCGGCCACTACGACGCGGGTTTCGATCAAGTCGTTTCTTTACTTTTCGAACCATTTCTGCTGATTTTGCTGTTTTCTTCTGTCCACTTCCTTGACGTCGGGCTACGCTACCAGTATCACGGTAACGAGCGATGGTACGATACACAAAAGATTTATTCACATTTAAATGCTGGAGTGCTCTAACGATAGCCACTGGTGGTTTTCCAGCCAAATATCAAGAAATCACGCTTGAATTCCATCACGAATAACTTTTTTTCTGGAAAATTCTCAACAAAAGGCTTTTGTACGCTTGTAAGCAATATAATATGCTGTTACTGGAACAATTTTAACAGCTCTCGGACGAGTGGCTTAGAAATGACAGCAATCTTAAGTTGGTTGCAGTTATTTCATCTCACCCTGTATATATTATAAGGCCTTCGGATGTTGTTACCCATGATATTACAAAAGGATTATTAAATCCTATACATTTTAAATAATTCAAACCAAATTTCAAATTTTATAAAATTTCTTAGAATAAAAAGGTTTTTTATTTATATATTATAAATTTATTTTTACACATTATAAATTAAATTTATCTAATCAAAAAGTTTCTAAAAAAGTTAAATATATAATAATTTAATACAAAGTAAATACATTCCTCCACCCCGGCGATTAGTGACACCCACATTCCTTAGCCACACTTTGTGGATATTTACTTAAATTTACACTATCCTCATTTAAATAATGCAATATCGATATGGAGCCCAATACAGTTGGTACACAACAGGGTTTCGGTAAATTCGGTTGTTTCAAATGCATCAGTGTCTGGACTATTGCATGATTTGTGGCATTCATTTTTGAGCCCAACGGAAAATTACATTCACCACCACAAAAGAAAGCTTCGAATTTCTTTGGTGCAATAACCCAATCATGCATTTGTAAATCATTGAAATCCAAGGTGAAATTTAAACGTTCACATGATGTTGGTAGCCGATAGATTTCCTGTACGGGTGGGGGTGGTGGCCTATTGTAGTAATCGGCCGCCTTACGTTTGCGTTTAATGACTTCACGTTTGAAACGTAATTTTTGGATTTTTGTCATCAGCTCGGGTCCATTGAAGTAGCCAATGATAAACGGCTGCAAATCAATCATATCATCCGTAACATTTGGTTGCACCAAACCCAAATCACTTGGTAGTATTTCTATGGATTTTGATTCATGTGCGGGATTTTCCATTTCAAGAGTAACACCCACCAACAGTTCATTCAGTCGTCCGATTTGCAAAGATTTATGTTGTAGCCAACGCGATAATATGCGAGTCATATTAAATTCCAACCAGCCTTTATACGCCGTGGTGGTATTTACAGAGGCCAATATTCTTAAAGCTCCTGTGTACTGTTTCCGTACCATAACTCGTTGATAGATGGAGATTATGGCTCTCTGGACATCGGTATTTTGTACAAATTTTCCCAGACTTGGTTGTTGATACAGCCGCAAAGCGGAATGTGCCAATTGTAGGTCCCGTGGCACATCATTCGTGTTAAAGCCAATCTGCATATCGGTAGCAATGGGTAAATCCGCAATGAGATTTGGATTGCTTACCATTTCTGTAAAATAATAATCATTTATTATGAGTTACTTTTAAAATCTTGCCTTTTTTAAGGGTACTTACGTTTACTTGAAAATGTGATAATATTATTGCATTTTTCGATTTCCATTCGATCGTACTTAGTTATAAAGCGTTCATCTCTCAAGGCTCTTCTCTGCCGTCCACGTGTTAAGTGTTGTCGCACATGATCCAATTCTTGTTCATTCTCCGTTATATCATTGTACACTTCCAAAAGAAACTTGGAGGCGGAGTTTTTCAATGAAATTTTGGGTTGGCCATGATTTTCAGGACCTAGTCCTAGTATATCCACAATTTCGAATTCATAACCCGTCAGTTCTGGCAGATGATCGCTTTGTAAGGGCAGCCTATCAATTGTTTCCATTGTATAATCGATTTTCAGATCATGAGTTTCAATTGAGCGCAAGGCTATCAAATATAACAAGATATTCTCTAATTTCAACATATTTCCTTTCTTTGAGATCTATTTTAATGTTGAGTCTTTGACAAAAGTCTTCCAATTGACTAACTCATTATCAATGTATTTCCATTTTATACTTGGGTTTTCCTTAAAATGTGTATCTCTTTGAACGAACCGTCTACCTGACGCCACATAGGCAAGGTGACAATTCTTATCTGATTTACCATAGTCCATCATAGTTTTATTATCTCATTACCTGCGGTGATTTGTTCTCGAAAAGGATTTATGACACCCAAGGAGGATTGCAAAATTTGTATCGGCATGTAGTTTATGATTCGAGTTTCTTAGAATTGCCCTATTTGAATTTTTATTGTAAGGATACACGTGTTCGAAAGTTGTCAATCCTATATCCTAGGTGCAATTTTTCATCTTATATAAGTCTATATTAAACACATTTATGTGTTGACTCCTCTGTATTTGACATTAAATTTAAGTGGAATGTATACAGGGATGATTTGTACATCCAATCCGAGTTTAACCAAATTCGTAATAAAAATAGTCCTTTAAAATAGTCCAAGTACTAAATAAGATTTTTGGGATGTGCATCCTCAGTAATTAAACTGTAAGTAAAAGTCATAAGTCGGGCGGGGCCGACAATATGATACCTTACACCCTGCATATTTAGTAGAGCTACCGTAAAAAAAAAGAATTTGTATGATCTACCCATGGCATAATTACAGATGGTAGAACAAAGCTACTCCCTATATACAATTTTGTTTTTATGACTTTTGGAATGATATTGGTCATTTGGTGCGCAATTAACCCGAAATCGGTTGAAGATATATATATGGAAGCTATATCCAAATCTGAACCGATCTTGACAAAATTTGGCAGAGGTAATTCTGGCCCTTATCTGATATCTGGTACCAAATATCGTTATTGTCGAATGCATATACCGAATGTGAAGGACATAAACACCAAATCAGATGAAACATATATATGGGAGCTATAGCCATATCTGAATCGATTTTCAAAATTAGTTTTACTTGCTTCTATACTGAATTTGGTTGGATGTGCTAAAATTAAGGTAATTTGGACTTATATTGGCCATTTCCTGTACAATTTACCCGAAATCGGTTAAAAATATATGGTAGATATATCTAAATCTGATTAGATATATCCGATTATCACCAATTTCAATGGGGTTCGTCCTTTGGCCAAACAAATATTGTTTTCGAAAATTTAATCACAATCAGATAATAAATGCGACAGCATTTTGTTCAAAAGAATGCATGGACAGACGAACTGAATGCATAAATCGACTTAGATAGTGGTTCTATGAAGATCCTCAAATGTAACTATGGGTCTATTTCGCTTCCTTCACCATGTTACAAACAAATGCACAAAGACATAATACCCTTACCACCTTGTGGTGTAGGGTATAAAAAATAAAAATTTGGCTGACCTTTTCGATATTGTTTTATTCATAAAAAGGACCTGTAAGAGTTAAGTTATGCTCGGGAATGCGCATTATTTTGTGATATTAGAGATAATAGATAAATAAGCCAATAAGATAAATTTATTTAATACATTTCTACTTGGTTTCATATAATTATGGCTTTTTAATGAAAGAAAATGGTTTCATATGAATGTTTATGGCAATATTGGACCATGCCCTATATACCTACCTCGTATAAAAGTTAGATCTGAGACATATTGGAGGCATCAGAAAAAATCTTATACATGCAGCTAAATATGAACAAGACAATGCAGTTTTTGCACTGAGTGTGAAAACAATTATTAGGTTTTTCTTATTTTTCGTAAAGGTACTTGATTTAAAAAAAAAATAACGTGTAGAAGTAAAGCTATATTCTGGAATGCGCAAAATGTTGTTTTTTTCGTCAACAGATCTTAAGGTAACTTTATTTTAAATTCCAGGACACAACAGTGTGCTTCAGGCTGGGACGCTGATGATGCTCAAGAGAAATAAAATTTGAACAGAAAAGTCTTAAGGAATTGCTTAAACACTTCTTTATTCTAACAATACTTGCAAACTAATATACATTTTTATTTTATGAGATAAATATAAAAGAACTAACACCTTTTAAGAGGCACCAGCCATGCATCACATACATTGTAGGAGCATTTAATGCTCTTCACTATTACGTAGGGCGGCCACTTCTCGGCGTATTTGCGTTATAACCTCCGCCAAGGCCTGTGGATGGACACCAGCCTCAATCAATTTTATACATGTATCCAAACTTTCCGTGTTTAATCCTGTATTTAACAGCTGCGATATGGCATGAATGTTGTTTCGTATAACTTGCGATTGTTGCAGCTTTAAATAGTTACTGCCATTCACCTTGGCGTTGCCACCATCCAGACAATCATTGGAGCCTGTAGCTTTATTCGACATTATATCAAGTGCTTCTATAAATTGATTTACAATTCTAAATATTCAAAATTGTTTATAAAGTCAATTCCAACAAAGAGAGATAGCAAAAATATCGATTGTACCGATATTTTATTTTAGAAGGCAAAACCGATTTGTTTATATTTGGTTAAGGGTTACCAAGACATTGTATATGTTTATGTAAGGTGGTGTATACATTATCCATCATGATGGTCATAATAATTTTTACGGAATAAAAAGCTGCTGTCTTTTTTGCTATCATATTAAATGTTATTACTTGAAAATATAAAAGAAATGAGTACTATGTCAAAACATCAAAGTGGTGAAGTAGATTTTGGTGTTTTCTCTCTCTTTTAATGGATTGCTCACAAAAAAATATTTTAATTGACATTGAAATATTATTGTTTTCGAATATTTTGGACGATTTATATCACATTTTCTAACAGATGTATAGTTCCAGAACTACAATAATGTAAAAACAAATTGAATCTTGCAGGTACTCAATAGTTGTGTTCCAGAACCTGCAAATTAGTACTAATTAGCACTAATTCTGCTACAACGCGTTCCCGTACTCCAAAAACTAGCAAAACTTGCAGCTCTCTCGAGAAAAAAATGACGCTGAGTGGTGCACATTTCTGCTTGTTTTAGCTACATGAATTTGGCCGAGCAGAAATGTGCAAATTGTGAATTTGACAATTGGCAGGGCTAACAAGGTTGAAAAATGTATTGATACATTTCAATAAAGAAAATGATCAACTTGAAAACTAAAGGAAAAACTAATATTTGTCGTGCAAAAAACAAAAAGAAAAAATATAGAGCAACTGATGTATTCACTTTTGGATGATTCCAGCAGTGAAGAGGACTGGCTGAATGAGGAATCAGATTATTAATTATTATTATAAATTATTAATTTTAACTTATCGTCTTCAATATTCATTTTTTAAATGTTGGCGCTCTTTTCAGTAAGGTTTCACCAGTCCGATTTAGGCTGTTTACTTTTGGAATTTTGAATTTTGACATTTTATCGCATTTCTGCTAATTTTCCATTCTCTTATTTTTTGAGCAAACCTAAATGAGAATGAAATTTCGAACTGTTCTCTCTTCTGCTAATTTTACTACTAAAAAAGAACTGGAACACAACTATTATTATTTTTTGTATATATTTTACTATTCGCTGATAATTTTTGTTATTTATTTATTTTTTTTTAGGATTAATTTGGTTATAGACTGTTTTTATACTGTTGTATGTTAATATAAGATTTTGGCCATGTTGGCTTATTTATATTGAATTGTATGAAATAAATGAAATGAAATGAGGTACCATATATAGCAAACTGAAGTATTCCACTTCATGTAGTACCAATAAAAATATTGGTATTTGCATAATTTAAAGAAATTTTGTGGGGGAGTTACAAGAAAGAGTTGGCCGATCCAAATTCACATCAGTAGTGGAATTCTCTAACTCACGTTTTGAGTTACCGACAGAAGTCGGTAAAATTAAAATGATTATAATCTCGGTAATTAACAAAATTTATCGGTAAGTAACAGAGCAAATGTTGTCAACCTTAACAAAATTTTTATATCGAAATTTGGGTTTCGAAGTTACCGATTTTTGTCGGTAACTCAAAAAATAAGTTATAGAATCGCATAACAGATCTCTGGTTGAGATATATGCTCTGTTCCATCATAAAAGGAAAATCGATATCATAAAAGGAAAATCGGTTATTGTAGTAAAAAGTTTTACATAAGGGGAAATATGATATGGAAAAAAGTAGGTGTGTCTGGTTAATTTTCCAGCAGAATTGCCCAGCAACTTCTTTCTGAAAGAGATAGAGAAAGAGGTAGTTTTATTCTCTTTTGCAAGGAAGATGCGAAAAGTAAACGGACGGCATTCCTGCAGAAGCTTGCAACCAATCAGCTGATTCGTCAACCAAACCAATTAGTCCCCATTAAAAGAATTAAAACAAAAGGAAGCAACACTAATTTTACAAGTTTTATAAATAACAAGTAAATAAGCTGTAAGTTAACTTTGAATGCCCTCCACCATTTGGTACAAATTTGACAATTTTCAAAAAAATAAAATCCATTAAAAATTCTGTTAAAATCTTAAAAATACCGAATGTAGCCGTATATTAGGGTCTATACGACGACGTAGACCTGAATAGGCAACTTTTGTCATAAGCTATTATAATATTCAAATGCGAAACTTGAATAAAAAGTTTAAAAAGGTAGCTAAAATAAATAAAATACCGAATATAGGGATGTACAATACGTGGACCTGCACAGACAATTTTCTGGCATATGCTGTAGTATCCATTGCGAACTTCAAATGCGAAATTTGAAACAATTCCGGTAAATAATGTCGCTTAAATCATGAAAATACCGAATATCGGGAGGTACCGTTACATGGGGGCTATACGAAGACGTGGACCTACATACTCCATTTTCTGTCTTAGGCTGTAGTATCCATTACGAGCTTCAATTACCAATTTTGAAACAATTCCGGTAAATAATATTGCTAAAATCATCAAAATACCGAATATCGGGGTGTACCGTTATATGTGGGCTATACGAAGACGTACACCTACATGTCTCACTTTCTGTCTTAGGCTGTAGTATCCATTACGAGCTTTAAATACCAATTTTGAAACAATTCCGGTAAAAAATGTCGCATTTGAGTAAATTTTTATCAACTTACTTCATTTCGTTCGGAAGCTAGAGTGATTTCCACAGACGACAGACGGACGGACATTGCTAAATCGACATAGAATTTTATGCTGATCAAGAATATATATACTTTGTGGGGTCTAAAATGTATATTTCGAGGTGTTAAAAACGGAATGACAAACTAGTATGGGGGGTATCATACTATGGTGGAGGGTACAAAAAGGAAATTAGCAATACAATAAAAGTATGAACAATAAAAGATAGATTCGATGTGTTCCCCGGAATCACCGTACGAAAATAAACTTTACCAAACGTTTCTTGATGTACGAAACGAAACAAAACCGATATTAAGATAACGGGACTTGATTTGTATTTTGTACTGTTTGCGTAGATGAGTGGAAACAAAAACAAAACTAGATGACGCAACATTGGAAACGAAACAGTACAAAACCCATTGCAAACGTTTGCAAACGTTACGCTGTATTACAAATAAAGTAAAAACTAATATTAATTTAAATTTATGCCTTTTTATTTATTTATTACGGCCTCATACAATGGAAGCAGTGCAAAAAAAATATTTAGAATGACGACTCTAAATGTAGCAGTCATCATTTCGCCCAGCAAACGTTTGGAAACGTTTCCCGGCGATTTGTTCGCAAGCGGTACACCTCGGCAAACCACTGCCCATGGCAAAAGAATACAGGTAGATGCATCAACGCTTGGAAGCATTGATATGTCAAAAAAATTAAATTTTTTTTTCAAATATAAGTAGATTTTTATTTGTTTTCTTATACTACGACATTCGGAGGCTATTATATTTCGCGTTTTTTCAAAAATTTTTACAAATTTAAATAATTTTTCATTCAACATTTTCAATTATAAAAATTAGTTTGACAGTTCCCTCCCTATATTCTTTTACCATGATTTTACCATGGAGTCATCAAGTAGATTCTAATATTACTACTACTAAATATATAATAGCGCCGGTCTCATTGCGGTTATTTTAAATTTTTATCTATAATTGGTACCCCATTTTATACGAAAAAATAATCTTTGAACCAGCCAAATGAACTTGTTCGTTCATCAGCTGCACCTCACTAGTATATAAACAATAGGGAGAGCTTTTGAAAAAATATAGTTATTTTGGTTCGGACTTCGTCGTTGTAAACATCTCCAGAAAGTAAGTGAGCGGAATAAACAATTAGAAAATAAAAAAAAATATCGCCATTCAACTGCAATGCGAAAAGGCACTTTCGCTACAAATGGTTCTTCAAAATGATATGGCCGTTCTTTCCACAAACAATGGAATTAGAGATAAAATGCGGTCAAATGCACTAGGAAAGAAAGAAGTGGATTTATACCGGGCTTAGGGATATTGTGTTGATTATTCCATAGAAATGGAAATGTACGGCGACTATATGATTATCTGCGGTTGCAAAGCTGAAAACAAGTTTTGTTGTTTTTTTTTTTTGTGTCAATAAGATAACGTCGTTTTGCGGGTCATTTGGATATACCCAGCCATTGCTTTGTGAGATTTATTTGAAAAACTTATTCCAATAATTGATTTTTTTGTTTGTCTCTTTTTTTTCAGATAATTATGGCTACTTTCCGAATGGGAGCCAAGACCCATCCAGTGCCCATGGCTCTGTTCCGTAAAAATCGCCAAAATTTGTGCACTGCACTGAAGGCCAATTCGGCTGTGGAAAAGGGTTCCTTTGTCTTGTTGGAAGGCGGTAAAGATGTCAGTTTCAACGACACCGATGTCAACTATCTGTTCCGTCAGGAATCCTATTTCCAATATCTTTTCGGCGTAAAAGAGCCTGACTGTTTCGGTGCATTGAACGTCGATTCTGGGGAATCCATACTCTTTGTACCACGTTTACCCGAAGAATATGCCACTTGGATGGGACGCCTATTTACTTTGGAGGAATTCAAATCCATGTATGAAGTAGATCGTGTTCTTTATGTCGATGAACTACCAGCATTCTTTGAAAAGGCTGCGCCCAAATTGATTTTGACCCTCAGTGGTGTGAACAGTGACAGTGGTTTGCGTTCGAAACCAGCCTCGTTTGATGGCATTGAAAAGTATGTGGTCAATTGTGATTTATTGCATCCAATTTTGGCCGAATGTCGTGTGATTAAGACCCCCGAAGAAATTGAAGTTTTGCACTATGTGGCCATGGTGTCGTCGGATGCCCATATTAAAGTTATGCAGTTCATGCGTCCCGGACGCACTGAGTATGAAGGTGAAGCTGTTTTCCTACATCACGCGTATGCTGTGGGCGGTTGCCGTCACACTTCCTACACTTGCATCTGTGGTAGTGGTACCAACTCTGCAATTTTACATTACGGACATGCTGCAGCTCCCAATGACAAGGCTGTGCGAGATGGTGATATGTGTCTCTTTGACATGGGTGCCAATTACTGTGGCTATGCTGCTGATATAACCTGTTCATTCCCAGCAAATGGCAAATTCACCGAAGATCAAAAGTTCATTTATAACGCTGTACTAGATGCCCGCAATGCGGTGTTGAAAGAAGCACGTGAAGGTGTCTCCTGGGTTGATATGCACCGCTTATCTTGCCGTGTTATGTTACAACGTCTCAAGGAAGGTGGTATGCTCCAGGGAGATGTTGATGAAATGTTGGCTGCTGGTCTGGCCGGTACCTTCCAGCCTCATGGCTTGGGCCATCTAATTGGTTTGGATGTTCATGATGTCGGTGGCTATTTGCCCGGTCAACCTGAACGTCCCACCGAACCATGGCTGAGTAAACTACGTTTTGCCCGTGATCTTAAGGCGGGAATGTATGTTACCGTCGAACCTGGCTGTTACTTTATCGATATTCTTATGGACAAAGCTTTGGCCGATCCAAATCTAAACAAATTCATTGTCAAGGATGTGTTCGAACGTTTCCGTACATTCGGTGGCGTTCGCATAGAGGATGATGTCTTGATTACCAAAACCGGCAACGTGAATTTCGCCAGTGTTCCAAGAACTGTGGAAGAAATCGAAAAGTGTATGGCTGAACGTACCTAAGTGTTGCAGCTGCGTGCATAAAATAACAGCTGCTGGGATAATATATATTAAATATATAATCGTATTATCAATGTATTAGCTTTGTATATTGCTCGTTTTTTGTGTGAATCGACAAATGATTTGTTGTGCTGTTTTGATAAGAAATTTTTGTATTGAACTGTTTTTTTTCCCATGTTATCTGATAAATAAAGTTATATATTTTTTAAAAGATTAGATTGATGTTTGGTAGATTTGTGGCGCTATTCGACGTTTGTAACTAGGCTGATTGGAAATCTGGAGAATTAGAAATGATAGCCATTTAGATTTAACACGCCCAGGAATATAATATTTTGGAGAGTTTTTTTTACTCTCTGGGGAAAGAGTCAATAACTGCGGCACATTTGTACTGTGGTACATTTGTACCCATACGAATTGAGCGTTGTAGGAGGTTTTTTGCAAAGCGATTTGTTTGTGACCTATCATTATAACAGGTAAAAGAAGACAAGTTAGACGCATAGCTACTTCTGATGATCTACATAGAGTCACATTTTAAGTAGATTTATATATGTCCGTCTGTCCATGTATTTTTTTTTTGTGTAAGGAAAATTTAGTGTCTGATTGAGTTGGAATTTTGCACAGTAAAACGAAAACTTACGCTGACAGTTTCCTGTAATGAATTGAATACAAATTAGACAGAAAAACTACCAGTATTATAGCAAACCAAGGCGCGATACTGCAAATTTTTATACTTGTCCTAGCAGTAGCAAAATGATATTTTGAAGCAAAATTCAAGTCTCACTTTACTTAGGGGATAATATGTCAGTTTTCTGGTTTTTCTCCTTGGCGTAAATTTCTCGTCGGTTGTACGCCCATATTTAAGGAAGAACTACAAAATATAAATTTGAAAATAAAGGGACAATAAATAATAAAAACAAAAAACAAGTAAAAAAGCAGATAAGCTCGACTGGCCGAACTTTTAATACCCTCCACCATTTCGAAGAAACTAGAAGAATTTCAAAACAATTTGAAAACTGCCACTTAAATGAAACCCGTCATAAGTTGTAGTACCCATTAAGATCTTTCAATACGAAATTTGAAACGATTCCCCGAATAATGTAGCTGAAATCGTCGAAATACCGACTATCGGGAGGTACCTTTATATGGGGGCTATACGCAGACTTGGATTTGCATACACAAATTTTTGTCATAGGCTGTAGTACCCATTAAGAACTTTAAATACGAAATTTGAAATAATTCCGGTAAATAAGATCGCTAAAATCATGAAAATGCCGAGTATCGGAAGGTACCGTTATATGGGGTCTATACGAAGAAGTGGACCTGCATACGAAATTTTTTGCAAAAGGTTGTAGTATCCATTACGAACTTTAAATACGAAATTTCCAATAATTCTGGTAAATAATGTCGCTAAAATCATGAAAGTACCGAGTATCGGGAGACATAAACAAACGGACATCGCTAGATCGTCTTAGAATTTTACGTTGATCCAGAATATATATACTTTGTAGGGTCTATTATGAATATTTCGAGGAGTTACAAACGGAATGACAAAGTTAATATACCCTCCATAGTATGGTGGAGGGTATAAAAAACGTAGTCATATTTTTGTTGTACCATATCCATAATATGCACTCCATAACAATGATATGTGCTGCAAGACATCAGACGTTGTCTAGAAACACCTTTCTCAATTTTTGGTTAGATCGAGTTTGATTTATGGCTCTCATTGACCTTCGTCCAATTTCAAATTTATTGTGAACCAAGTGTGTAATATCAGCCCAAATAGGATAGATTTTGGCACATATGACCGAATTCGCTCAGGTTCAGATATAGCTACAGTTCCTAAATAAATATTTCATCCAAAATGATATTTAAGCCCACCGATTTGTAAACAAAGTAGAGGTGTCATTCATTGCCCGATTGAGATGAAATTTTGCACAAATCATTTGTTTTTCCCAAGGATGAATCCCATTGAAATCCAACAGAATCGTTCAAAATTTGGATATGGCTCTTATATATATCTTCTTCCGATTTGCCATTTATTGTACATCTACGTGTAGTATTAATCCAAATAGGATGAAATTTGGCACACACGACCAAATTGAGCCTATAAAAAAGTGGGTGGGTATCGATTGAGATATAGCTGTAGCTCCCATATATAATGTTCATTCGATTAGTTATTTTTGTCCCCCACAGCCGTAATATGCACTCCGTAACAGCGATATTCGGGGGAAATATATCAAATACAGCTCAGAAACACCTTTGACAAATTTAATCGGTTCAGATTTGAATAATGCTCCCATATATATTTCTTTATCCGATTTCAAGTTAATTGTGCACCAAATTGGTTATATAAGCCCGGAGACACAAATACCTCGGCAAATTTAGTAGAAATCGTTTCAGAGGAGGATATTCCTCTCATATATTAGTTCGTTTCGAATTTAAATTATAACTATAATCATAATTGGTATGGTTTAATTCCCACAAATTCCGCATAAAAACTTTTATTTGTTATGTGAAGCTCCACTAAATATGCAAAGTGGTGTAGGGTATCATAAAGTCGGGCCCGCCTACTTTACTTGTTTAGTGTTTAAAAAGGAAATAGTATCTCGTCTACAGAAGGGATTAGGAATATTACTGCATTTGTTGTTGGGGAATTAGCCTATGACACATTGGTTTTGAATGCAAAATATTGAAGGTCATTATTAAAGACTTGACAGTTGTGTTAATTAAAATGTACAAAATAAGGCCATGTGGCGATAATAAAAACTCAATGTTTAACGTGATCCTTGCCCTGTTTAAACTCAGTGTAGTGGCTTCATTGTAATAGAGTGATAATGTTTAAGGCGATAAACATTCTACGAAGGAGTTAGAAAAATGCACTCGACTTAAAAAAAAGCAATACCGTCAGGCCTATTTGATTGTTTGTTTGTACCTCGGCTGTATTTTTACAAAAGAACCCATGTGGAACTTTCTTGGCAATCAAAGCGATTGTTAATACAAATAACATCGTTTTTGTAGCATATTTTCAGGCATACAATTTTCATAAAAATCTATACATAAAACGTACAATATTGGATTGTAGATATAAAATTTAGGTCTTTGTATAAAATACTGTAATAACGTTACATGTACAGGTTATATATTAAGTTTAAAACTGAAGGGCATTTTTGCATCTGTTCTAATTGTAGACTTTTGGCCTATTTTGATAATCGTGCAAGTATTTCAAAATTGTGGAGAATGGAATAGAAACAATTTTTTTTGGTTATGAAAACATAGAGGAAATAAGAGGGCTATAAATTTCGCCATTGAGTCCCTCACACCAGATACTTCGCCTTGGTGACGGGTTTGCTTGATGAAGCAATTGAAGAGTTCGGCAAAATTTCCTTTAGATATTTTGAATTCGTCACAAACCTAAAAGTGATGATACATATGCAGCTTGTCATCATGGTATTGTATATTAATTTCAAATTATAAATGAAAACGTCGGAAAGATTCGAGTGCAACACTTACATCCCTTTAGGATATGCCATCAAATATACCATGATGCCAAACTGCTCGACTTCCTTTGATATGGAAGGTGGTATATTCGGTTATATAGCCTTCGACTGATTATCGGAGGCTCTCATAGATTTTCTTATCATAGTTAATAAAAGTAAAAAAACTACCTACCGTGATAAAGTAAAACTACCTACCGTAAGTTCGGAATAATCCTTATGAATTGCAAAAGTTTGGTGAAGGGACTAGGGTAGATCAGAAAAGTGAAGTGTAGGGGTATGGTATCTCAAAACTTTTTTGTTAAGTAGAACATTGCACCAGATGATTGTAAATGAGCGAGATTAGCTTCGTTGTACAAACCATAATAATTCCAAAGCCAGAGAACTAACTCTGGAGGTAAACAGATTTGTTGGCGAGCCTAAGTGGAAAAAGTGGATAGAGCATCTGAAGCATTGCAACATCAGTACCAGTCGCTCTCGAACCCTGGAAAAAAGAATGATCGGACATTTGTCTCATTTAACCGCGTAGAAGTGACATATTCGGATATGTGCGTGAGTTAATTTATCCCGAAATTTGTAGAGCACCCCGAGAGTGACAGGGAAAGAGAAGGATTCTTTGCCGTGTACGATCTCTCCCAACCGATGGAAGATGTTTCACATGTCATAAGAAGCGCAAAGTCATTCAAAACTTTTGGTTCTGAGGGAATCTTTATGGCGATGTTCAAGCAACTGGATGAACCAGGAGTGAAGTGTCTAATCAAACTCCTCATCCTGTCGTTCCTGGAGAATTGGCAGGGTGGTCCGGCTTCTGAAGCCAGACAAGGATGTCAGCAAAGACGACTCATACATACCAATTTCGCCTTTTGTCGTCAGTAGCGAAGGATTCCGGAAGTTGCGTAGCATAACTGCAGTTTTACACGTATCGAGTGTTTGTTTTTTAAATTTTGACCACCAATTACCCCAAGATCTTAGGGGTAACATTCTAAAGCCTTTTTAAGCTATATTCGAAAAGCTTAGAAGTAGGAACACTGTTTTCAAGTCTGAAGCGTCAACAATTGTGGAGTGGATAAAGAAACCTAGTTTATCTCTCACAACGCGATAGGCAGGTCTGTGGTAAACTATGCGGTTCCAGTGTGCTCCATAAACGTAATTGGTACGAAATGGAAATGTCCGACCAGAACGTTGTCCTTAGAACCGCAGCAGGGTGCCTCCATATGAACCGGGTTACCATTTACATGAGGAGGCGAAGGTCTTACCCGTGCGGCAGCATATTAAAATTCTGTCGATGCAATATTTGCTTGGCTGTTATATACAGAGCCGTGTCTATCACCATCTGGTGGATAGCCGAACTCCGTCCAGGCAAACTAGATGATTATGGCATAACTTAGATCTGGATGGTGCAGCCACCTCAATTCGTATTGGGCACAAAAAACCTGCTAACGTCTGGCACGTGACATACTGCACCGCTCCAACCACCCAGCCAAACCTATTCGACTATCTCCTGTATCGTCATGACTCCAACCAATACAGGTCGCTCCTTTTTGGAGTTAAAAGCAAAGCCAGATTAGAGATGATATAATCAGCAGTACGAGCTGCGCACACACACAATTACACCTACGACAATAGTAATTTTCTAATGTAAATCAGGAGTAAGTCCGACCGGACCGGGGGGTGTACTCCATGTGAAAACTTGACTTATGGCCGCAGCATCCCTTAAATGTGGAAGTTCCGTTATATTAAAATTGCTCTTATAATTAATCTAACCACAAAGAACCCAAAATATAGAATTACAGCTGATTTGGTTTGAAAATGGGGAAGAAATTTTGAAAATGCCGAAAATCGGGAGATACCATTTTATGGCACCTATACCTAAACGTGGATCTATATATCCCTTTTCAATATCAAACCACTATTATTGAGATTTCAAAAAGCTAATGGACATGTTTAAAGCGACATAGAATATGACGCTGATCATGAATATGTAAAGGCTTTATCTGAAGAATATTTCGAAGCGTTGTCAACGGAATGGACTGCCCTCCATGCCACATAGGAGCACCAGCAAACAAACAGTTATCCATCATTCCTTTAATTTTTACTTTTTGGATCCATTCTTTCTTTAATTTTTTACATTTTTGCTTCAATTCTTTCTATCATTTTTACTTTCTTGCTCCGAAAAACACAACCATTGGCTACAATACTCTCAAAAACTCGTTTTTTATTATTCGTATTTCTAATTCGAAATACCTTGTTTTTTTTCAATACTAAATATTTAAAAAGATAAACATATTTAAAACTTTATTTTAAACAAAAAGAAGAAGAAAAACCCCGATTTACAATCCAATTTTCGATGGAGTTCGCCTGGGGGTGGCATGGCCTGGTGTTGCTATTTCCTGTTTATTTGCCAATTGCTCCTCGCGCTGGGCCGCTTTCAGTTTACGTTCTTCCATCTCCTCCTGGGCTAAACGCATTTGCGTCTCCATTTCCTTGAGGTGTTCGGCTGCTTGTTTTTTCTTTTCTCGTCCACTCCGACCGGTCTCTTTGACAGAGAAGAACATGGGACCCAATTCGGCTAACCAATAACCATCTACGGCAGTGGCACATTGCATATACTCTTTGGCGGTCATAACCAATTCATGATAGACCACATAGTCGGGTGTGGTGCCCAGACCGTATAGAGCCGAGGTGGGATGCAGATGGCAGGGCATGCCCGTCCGAAGATTTACATATTCACCAATACCCTTGAGGCGGGCCGCTTGATAAAAATAGGCGGAGCAAATACATTTCCGTATAATATCCCAGTCGGTGCCGCAAGATTTCACCGATAGTTTTTGTTGTATCATAATATCCTTGAGTTGTTGGCGTACTTCTCGCACCTTGCGCATGGCTTTGATGTGTATAAAATGTTCATTGCACCAATTGGAGCTGTAACTGAAAATGAATGAAGGAAAACAAATGGAGAAATGTTAGAAAAGAACTTGAGGTAGATTTAAGCTATGATTACTTACTTATTTAGTTTCCACTGCAGATACACATTGAGATATGTCAAATGATCGGATTCTGGAACTTGGAATTTCTCACGTACACCATCTGCCTCCTCTTCACGACCCTTGGGACGATAAAATATAGAGGGCACCGATAGCATAGACACTAGAAGGAAATAAAGATGGGAAATATATTATTAATAATAAAATAAAAATCGATTTTCAATATTTTCCAATCTATCGTCTATTTGTGAGACAAAGACCGGACAGAAAATTATGCATGCTACAAGTGAGCGAAAAGTCCAAAGCACTGAGAAGTGATTAAACCTCTTGTCTGGAGAGCTCAACAACCTTCAACGCTCATATGAACATAGCTGCAAGAAGTCAATACTTAGAGCAGATCTAAGCGGTTAACAGCGGCACATATTTACACAAACAGAAGCAGTAATTAAAATGTCGTTAAATATGAAAGAAGTAAATATAAATAAAACAATCCATATAAAAAGGCCATAGAAGTGGGGATTGGATGATTGCACGAAACGCGGTACATATAAAGAAAAAATGCAAGCAATTCACACATTTTATTCCAGTTATTTAGTAAATTTAGAAACAAGTAAGCAAAGGATATAGTGGTGCGGGGCCGACCATGTGATACCCTACAACACTTCAATATGGTAGAAGTCCCCTTATGTCCAAATTCATTTTGGAAGATTTCGCCTTTGAAATTGTATCATAGAGCATTGCCCAGATATTACCCTTAGCTTTTTGACTAGGCATATTTGCCCAATACGCAAACCGTCGTGCTATTGTTACAGTTAAATATAAACCGATGGTCATCCAAATGCTAGACTTCTTCCCTGTCCTTTACTCTCTTTTCATGCAAAATTCCGTGTCGATTGGTTTCAATTGTGTGATCAGGAAAATTTTTCTGTTTTTGGTACTAATTTGCGATCATCTCTAAAAGCAAGAGGCCCTCTGTACCTCTAAATTTAGACTCATCTATATGATTTGCTTGTCTACGATATTTGGAAATATTCGTCAACGAAATCAGCACAAAAATCCATTAGTTCACCTTTTTGTGTATTTTGGATATCGCCTGCAAGTAGGATGGAAATGTTGGTATTTTTTTCACATAAAAGTAGTGGTCCATTCTACCCGATGTCATAAACTCTAACTTCATGCGAGATTTCGTGTCCTTTGGTTTCTGTTTGTGACCTTTTTAACGGCTGTAAAAACAGGTTGTCAGTTGTTGGTCTATTTAAACCCTAAATATATTGCGGACATCTTTGAGAACAATAGGCCTAACAATTCTGAGCCCAAAACTAGCCATATAACAATTTTCGTGAGGATTGGACGATAATTGCAATCTGTATATGATAACCCCAACCTGTGTTGTAATGTGAAAAAATATTACAAAATGTATACTTGAATATTATAAGTCAAATTGAAAAAATCGCATGCGATAAAAAATATGAAAAAATGAAAAAAATTCACAAAATACTACAAAATTTACATTAACATCATTATTGACATAATTTAAGCGTTTTTTAAATTTTATACTTTTATGCCACGAGGGCATTCTGAATAAACAAAATTTGTCGAAATCGGTCCAGCCATTCTGGAGATATAAGCATTCTAGCTAACATCCCCTTCCTTTGTATATATACATTGTATATATTGGGCTATATATATCCTATATATTTACTATCGGCATCTACATAACGGCCAGAATTGACCTGTTCGTCTATTTGTGATTTCGCCGGGATTAAAAACATTCGCGGTTTAATAGAAAATTTGACTTTTATTTAAGACAAATGTTATGGTCTATTTCACCCACTAAATATTACCCGATGACCATCAAAATTGGAAGGCTTCTGCCTACCCCTAAGCTCTAGCCCCATGCTAACTTCCGCGTCGATTGGTCTATAAGTGAGACCTGTAGAGCATCTATTCTGACCCTATCCCCACTTCCACTCTAAATTTCGTGAAGATCGGGCCATAATTGCGACCTGTAGAGTGATTACAAATTAACATGGACAGACGAACGGACATATATAGCTAGATCGACTCAGCTCGGCGAGATAGGAAGATTCATATAAACTTTCCTATGTGGGAAACCAATATTTCGAGGTGTTACATAATTTTTGGCCCAATCAAACTTATAATACCCCCAACACATAGTGTTGTAGGGTATAAAAATAGAAATTGAAATTAGATGTGGTCCGGTAAAATTATTCGAATGTCTTTTCATGTGATGAAGTGTTTTCACTGGTTCATTTGCGTTCAAGAGACGTGTTCACAACTTCCAATAGATTTCATGACAACTGCGGCCAATCAATGTCGTGAAATATCCGATATCTTCTGCAGGGTAAGATGAAACAACTGCAACCGATTTCATATTGCTCTCATTTCTAAGCCACTTGTCCGACAGCTGTTAAAATTATTCCAGTGACAGCTCATTATATTGTTTACAAGCGTACAAAAGCATTTAGGTAAGAATTTTCCAGAAAAAAAAGTTATTCGTTATGGAATTCAAGCGTGATAGTGTGCTTTCTTTATATTTGGCTGGGAAACCAAAAGTGGCTGTCGTTAGAGCATTCCAGCATTTAAATGTGAATAAATCTTTTGTGTCTCGTACTATCGCTAGCCCGACGTCAAGGAAGTGAATGGAAGACAACAGCAACATCAGCAGAAATGGTTCGAAAATTAAAGAAGCGACTTGATCGAAACCCGCGTCGCAGTGGCCGAAAAATGGCTAGTGAGCTGAACATATCGCAATATTCAATTCGGCATATATGGAAAAATGAGCTCGGGGTAAAGCCATTGAAATTGCAAAAAGTGCAAGAACTTACACCGCAACAGAAAGAAAAATAGACTCAAAAGAGCTAAAGAGTTGCTTCGCATGGCCGAGAGTGGTGAACTGCCGAATTTGGTTTTCTTCGATGAGAAAACATTCGTTGTCCAGCACTTTGTAAACAAACAAAATGATCGTGTTTACTTGCCAAAAAGGTCGCCAGCCAAGAATGGATACAAATGAGGTTCCTCGCTTCATTATCAGCGCACAATGGCCACCAAAATCACGAGGACACCAATCCGCTGGACTACTGTGTCAGGAGTATTTTGTAAAGCAAAGTTGGCACTAAAAAATACCAACGTGTCGATCACCTCAAGCAAGCGCTTCGCCGGGAATGGGTCAAAATGACGCAGAGCAACATTCGGGCAGCGTGTGACGGTTTCATTGGCCGCTAGAAGGCCATAATTCGTGCCAAAGATGACCAATTCAAACAAATCTAAATTTATTCTAAAATTTGATGCTATTTCCGATAATTTTTGATTTCATTCAATAAAATTTAAAAAAAATGTAAAAAATATGGCGTTTGATTTTGTTGCAGTTTTTATCTCACCCTGTATTCCATGTTCACACCAGCCCTTGTATTAATAAAAATATTGTTATGTATGTAATTTAAAAACTATCTGACACTCACGTCACATTTTATAAAAGTTATAATTATTTGAATTTTTTACCTTTTTGTGGGGGAGGTACTTGATGGAGTGGACCGATATTGTCCATTTACGCACCTGACCTAGTACTGATGCAAATATTAGGATTCACAAAGTTGTAGCAAAATCGGATTATCCTTTCTTTTTCGGTGCAGTAAATTTTTTTTTCTTTGAAAATTTTGACATTTTGTGCGCTCTAAGTTTGATAATAATAGTTACCGTGCGCACCAGTCTCTAGATCGACTCCAAATGGATTTGGTCCAAAGAGACCTAGGGTCTAAAACCGTTATTTCTATGAGGCACGTTTCGGCCGTTTCAAATGATATATACCCTCTCTAGCCATATGGCTGAGGCTAAAAAATACGTTGAAAATTTTTGTTACCCTTAGCTCCCCATTTAATACCCAGAACATACGATTTAAAAATGAAGGAGAGTTGTGGCTGGGCCAAAATGAAAGGTCTAGAAGAGTACTTTCCGAATAAATGGTCCTTACTGGCAAAGAGTCTATGAATTTTTCGAATTTTCCGAAAAATTGCCGCTCAATTCAAGGCTTTTAAATGGGGAGTTAGGAGTCAAAGTATTTTTTTATTTTTATAACCTCCACCATAGTATGGAGGGTATATTAAGTTTGTCATTCCGTTGGTAACACCTCGAAATATACATTTTAGACCCCACAGGTATATATATTCTTGATCTCCATAAAATTCTATGTCGATTTAGCAATGTCCGCCCGTCTGTCTGCTGTCCGTCTGTGGAAATCACTCTAGCTTCCGAACGAAGTTGATAAAAATTTACTCAAATGTGTATTATGTCTGCAGGACTTTTGGTATTGAAAATGGGCCATGTAGGTCCACGTATTCGTATAGCCCCCATATAACGGTACCTCCCGATATTCGGTATTTTGATGATTTTAGAGACATTATTTACCGGAAATATTTCAAATTTGGTATTTGAAGTTCGTAATGAATACTCAGCCTGTGACAGAAAATTGTCTGTGCAGGTCCACGTCTTCGTATAGCCCCCGATATTCGGTATTTACCGGAATTGTTTCAATTTCCGCATTTGAAGTTCGTAATGGATTCTACAGTCTATGACAGAAAATTCTTCGTATAGCCCCCATATAACAGTTCCCCCGATATTCGGTATTTTGATGATTTTAGCGACATTATGTACCGGAATTATGAAAAATTTTGTATTTAGAGTTCGTAATGGATACTACAGTCTATGCCAGAAAATTGTCTGCGCAAGTCCACGTTTTACAACCCCCATGGTACCTTCCTATATTGGGTATTTTGATGATGTTAGCTACATTATAAACAGATTTTTTTCAAATTTCGCATTTGAATATTGTAATAGCTTATGACAAAAGTTGCCTAGGCATGTCCACGTCGTCGTATAGACCCTATTATACGGCTACATTCGGTATTTTTAAGATTTTAACAGGATTTTTAATGGATTTTTTTTTTTTGAAAAATGCCAAATTTTTACCGAATGTTGGAGGGTTCGGCCCGGCCGAACTTACAGCATTTTTACTTGTTAATTTTTATTTAGCAAATTTCTAAGTTTCGATTTCTCTATTAGCCCTTTCTGAACCGGAAAAAAAATCAAATTGGTTTGTGTCTCTGCTTTGTCAACTGCTGATTTACTGTTATGTAGATTTGAAGGTTGAACAATCGTTTCCCATTAAAAAGTACGGGAACATAACAAATTTCTTACTTACCTATTATTAACACTTCAGCACTGCACTCCATTTGACACGAGACAATCAACATTTGACATTGCGGCGGATCCAAGGGGAATTCGGCCATTTGTCGACCCAACGGCGTCAAAGCTCCCGTATGATCTAAGGCACCCAAAATCCACAACTGATACAGGGAATTCAAGATGTTATCCTGCGGGGGTGGATCCATGAAATGGAATTGCAATAAATCCACCACACCCAATGATTTCAACAGCAGTACCGTATTGGCTAAATTGGTTCGCTGTATTTCAGGTACGGTAAGTGGCAACAGCTCATCTTTGTATTGGCGTTGCGTATACAAACGATACGCCTGACCAGGTCCAGTACGGCCGGCACGACCGGAACGTTGATTGGCATTGGCCTGTGATATGGGATATATTTGCAGGGCATCCATACCAATGCGTGGATTGTAGACTTTTAATTTGCAGAAACCCGAATCGATGACATAAATAATACCATCCACCGTCAGTGAGGTTTCGGCAATATTTGTGGCCACAACACATTTGCGTATACCCTCGGCGGAACGTTGAAATATTTTCGCCTGCAGATCTGAGGGTAGTTGGGAATAGATGGGCAAAATGGATAGTTCAGGGGCATTGTCAATTTCCAGCAAACGTTCAGCCAGTACCTCACATGTCACCTCAATGTCCTCCTGACCGGGCATAAATATCAACATATCTCCCTCGTTGGGTGTAAGATGGATTTGCAGGGCTTGTTTGACTGCCGATTCAACATAATCTTCACAGGGATTTTTACTAAATAGAACATCGACGGGGAAGGTACGTCCGGGTATGGTAAAGGTTGGTACATTGCCAAAGAAGGTGGCAAATTTTGTGGCATCCATAGTGGCTGAGGTAACAATTAATTTCAAATCACGTCTTCGGGCAACAATCTGTAATTAGAAGAGGGGTGGGAAATAATTCATTAAGACGATTGCGAATGTGTGCGTGACAAAAATGTTGAAGGGGATAACAGAAATCTAGGGGGAGAAGAAGAAATGGCTAATTTTAATTAAATACCCACAATGACAGTTCATTAGGTCAAGGAAGTTTCCTTTGGCTATGTCCTTAACATCAACACTCAAGGCAGTTTCTCTTAAATTGTGTTGGATTCTCTTAATACGATATTAATGAGAAATTCACCACACCATGTTCTCTGTGGTATTCGTATCAATACAATGTTGCTCTCACTCTCTGTAACGGTTTAACATAGCTCTGTGGCAAATGTCAACGGAACAATGACAACTTTTTCCGATAAATGTAAATGTGTACGTGCTGTATGGCACGTAGTCATGACTTTGGTATTGGTCGAGAGAGACTTGTAATAAGAAGGTGGTACATTTGCTCTTCAGTTAGCGTTTGGATAGACACGTGGGAAATTTAAAGGAATAAATGTTAGAAAAGGCAATGAAAGAAAGGAATGTGCTAAACAAATGTGGACTTCGAACCCAATATCAGTTATCTGCAAGACAGTTTGGGAAAATCCAAAATGAGCAAACACATATGCTTGTTTGAGAGCAGCATTTCCTGAAATCCAGAGTCTAGTGTTTTGTCCTGTTTGTCCAAACGTCATCCACTAGAGTTGGGCTAAATTTGACTCAAAATGGAAATTTATTACACATTTTACAAAAATTATTACTATACAAAATGTTTATTCTTTGTGGGAGAGTTACCAGAACGGGTGGCCCAATTAGTCCGATATTGTACTACATCACATTTATGTAGAAATATTACGTTGTGAGAAGTTAAAAAAGCATCGGTGAGTTCTTTTTTTATTTTACGAAAATTATACTTGTTCATATTTTGACCTTTTGGGAGAGGTACCAGAGAAAGTGAACCGATATTGCCTCCTAACTGAATCTAAGCATATTAATACTGTTACGATGTACCAAGTTTGGACAAAATCGTAAACTTCGGACGCTGTTAGATCGACTCCAAATGTCCTGAAACGGATTTCGTACAAAGAGACCTTGGGCCTATATCGATGATGCGCGTTTTGCCGTCTAATAAAAGTATGTTTAATTTTTTTTTCATTACAATAATAACAAAAAACTGAAACCGATTACGGAGAACAGCATTAACTGGTATTTTTTGGTTTATTTAAAAATAGCAAGTTCCCGCTCCTTCGTCAGCGAAAAGTCCCTCCTCAACATTTTAGATTCGTTCCAACAGTTCGTGTTAGGCTATATTAGTAATCAAAATTCACAATTTGTTCGGTTAGACAAATAAAACTATTTCAACGTCTCCGTAAACGTATGTAAACCCGAGAAACTAACGGTAACCTCAATATCGAATTTCAGAACTCTCACTTCAACCAATATCAAATTTAGTAACTTTAAGTACTCATATCCTAAACAATCTATATCTCTGCATCCAAGACACCAACGGCGATCCAAAATTAGTACTTTTAATTAATTAGTACTTTTTGAACAATTATAGTACGCATTAACAAAACCCATCACCAAATACCAACAGAGACCTCAATATGAAATTATGGGATTCTAGCCTATCCCTTCACCCAATATACAATTTAGTATCACTTAGTACACATTTCCAAAACAAGCTCCATATCTCAATTCCAGAGTCCTCCAGATATCACATTTGGGGATTCTAGCCCTATTCCTACACGCAATACCAAATATAGCACCATTTACTACCATTATGCACTATTCGTACAAATATAGGGCGCATTTCCAAAACAACCTCCATATCTCAACCTTAGATACCAACAGAGACCAAAATATCAAATTCCAGGACCTCAGCTCTATTTCTTTACCCAATACCCAATTTAGTATCACTTAGCATTTTCGGAACAATTATAGTACACATTTCCAAAACCAACTCCATATCTTGACCATAGAGACCGACCGTGACATCTATATCAAATTTGAGGAATTCAGCTCTATTCCTTCAACCAATGCCAAATTTAGTATTATTTAATATTTTTCGTACAATTATTGTACACATTTCCAAAACCATCCCCATATCTCAATTTCAGATACTAATAGAGACCTCAATATCAAATTTCAGGATTTCATCTCTTTCCCTTCACCCAATACCAAATTATACCAAACATAGTACTATTTGGTACTTTTCGCGCAACTGAAATATAAATTTCCCAGACCAACTCCTTATGACAAACCTACTATCAACAGGGAACCAAATACAAAAGTTCAGCTTTATCTGTTCACCCTAAATCAAACTATTCCAAATTTACTACCATTTAGTACAGTTCGCACACTTAGTACATATTTCCAAAACCATCTTCATATATCAAACTTACTTTCTAATCTTGATTTTCATACCAAATTCCTAGTATTTAGCTCTATCCGTTAACATAATACCAAGTGGAACCATTTTAGAAGTTAAGCACAATTTTAGGACTTTTCGCAACCTTAAAGTTCGAATTGACAAAGACCCTTTTGTTACATCTATACTGTACTCAGACACTCTTTTTCCAGATTTGTAGCTCATTCCGTTTGTACAATACAAAGTATAACATTTTTAGTACATTTTAGTACTTTTTGTAACCTTTTAGTACGAATTTCCGGAAAAACACAGACTTATCACAATCCAACCCAATATGCAAGAGCTTGACTTGTATAACATGTGGTTTGAACCAGAACTCGTTAAAAATTTTATTTTTCCTTAGGGACCGTATTTTTTCTTTCGAAAAACTTTCCTATAGCTCTTAAAAAAATCACCCTTTTCCTATAGCATAAGTAAAGTACAGTGTATGTTATGTGGTTCGTATATTACAGTACATTGTATTGAAAAGTCGAACTGAGCTAATTACATTCATCTTTTGGCACTCCGAAACGTCTTCTTATTAAAACTCTCCATCACACTGTCACCAAAATGTGTTGTTTACATTGTTGTTGTTGTTGATGTTGCTGCTGCTGCTGCCTGCATTTACTAATTTCAATGACAATCATACAATAAAACAACAAGTGAAAATGTTATTATTTTATTTATTCTTTGTAAAACAAACAAAAAATTCCATATTCAGTGTCATGACCGGTAATTTCACTTCTGGTTCGAACTGGAACAACGGTCATAAATAAAATCAAAAATTACAAAATCACGTTTTAAAGACGAATCAGATTTGTTCTCATTTGTTTTGGAATGTGCGTCTATATGACGTTATTGTGACTTAGATTGATTAGAGCAATAGGTGTTAATTAAATTATTTTTATAACATTAGAAATAGATATTTTTGCTTCAAAACTTTGTAACATATTGGAATTATAACACAGTCGGACATAAAAAAATAATTACAAGAAAAATCCAGCAGATTATGAAAGTAGAGCTAACAAGTAAAATAGTATCAGTCGGTTTTGTCGACAGATTTATACCCCCAGCCTTGAGTTATGATTATTTAAACTCTTGACCCTTTATGGGGGAGGTTCCGAAGTTGGCCAATATTGACGTAAGACTGATATAAATCTTAAAATATGCCAGATTTGGACTATATCGGCTACTTCCTATACTTTGTATGTGCAAATTTTTGGAAAATCTGAAAATATGAGAATTCCATTTTCATACTAATACAGATAAAACCAGTAAAGAAAATCCAAATGTCGGGCGGGGCCGACTTTATGATACCCTACACCACTTTGCTAATATAGTAGAGCTCCACATAACAATTAAAAGCTTTTATGGGAGAATTCAATCGAACGCGCTATGATTATAATTATATTCTAAAGTTCAAATGACTAAATATGCCGAAGCATTTGTATCTTTTAAATTCGGACTTGTATTGCCCATTTGGTGTACAATTAATTTGAAATCGGATAAAGATATATATGGAAGCTATATAAAAATCTGAACCGATCTTGATAAAATTTGGCAAAGATATTTCTGAGCTGTATTTGATATAATTCCCTGAATATCGTTGTTACGGAGTGCTTATTACGGCTGTGGGTAACAAATCGGATGAACAATATATATGGGAGCTATAGCTATATCTGAACCGATCTTCAAATTTGGCATACTAGCTTCTAGACTCAATTCGTTCATAAATGCCAAATTTCATCCAATTTGGGCAAATATTAGACGTTTGGTGCACAATCAAAGATAAATCGGACGAAGTTATATATGGGAGCTATATCCAAATCTGAACCGATCTCGATAAAATTTAGCAAAATGCATTTCTGAGCTGTGTTTGATAAATTTCCCCAAATATTGTTCTTACAGAGTGCATATTACGGCTGCGGAGGACAAAAATAACAAATCGGATGAACAATATATATGGGAGCTATAGCTATATCTGAACCGATTTCAATCAAATTTGGCATACTTATTTTGAAGTCCAATCTGATAGTACGTGCAAAATTCCATACTATTCGGACTGATATTACACGTTTGGTGCACAATAAAAGGCAAATCGGACGAAGATATATATGGGAGCTATATCTAAATTTTGACCGATTATCTCCAATTTTAATAGGGTTCATCCTTGGGCCAAACAAATGATTTGTGCAAATTTTCATCTGGATAGGGCAATAAATGCGAACTGTACTTTGTTTAAAAAAATACATGGACAGACGGACAGACGGATGGACATGCATAAATCGACTCAAAATGTGATTCTATGCAGATCATCAAGAGGGACTATGGGTCTATCTCGTTTCCTTTTGCCAATTTGAAGAGAGTTGGATGCTTATTTCGATTTCTTTAAGCGTTTGTTTTTCAAAATCCCGATGTGAAGGAGGTACCAGAAGAAATGGGGCTATTCAAAATAATCACCCGTTGTAGGCGAGGTACCAGAAGGAATGGGCCGATATATCCCATCTCCACACCAGACCTTGCTTCAATTAAAATATTTTAATCTGTATAATTTGAAGAGAACTGAATGCTTATTTTGTTTTGGTTATTCCAAACTTTGACCCTT